CAAAAAGATCCACGCAATTTCGTCTCCTCGAGACGATTTGCTTTAGGGGTAAGGGTACTGTTGGGAGTGAGAGGTTTGAATTATAACCCGCGTGCATTACTTAGAGGCCTCTGTAGAAGTCTACGTATACGACTAGTATTGTATTGACGGAATACAGTCAACGCATGTACATGCACATGAAAGTCGGCTCGCTTTTCACATTTTTGCGCATGAATGCAGGGATCACATGGCTTTGTGCATGACATGAATGACGAGGGAGCAGTTTCGGGGCTCAGTCAACGCATGTACATGCACATGAAAGTCGCCTTGCGTTCTTCACATTTTTCGCATGAATGAGGGGGGCTCGGGGCGAAGCTGAAAGGGATGAGCGCGCGGAGCGCGCGAATACTGTTTCAATAAAGGGAGTTAGGTGTTGGTAATAAAAGATTTATGGAAACGGAGACGACCCAGGGGGCGTATGAATGCTTGATTAGGTCACCTAAAAATTTTAATGGTGACCAGTAAGACTTGTGGGCTTGAGCACAGCTATGCGGACGTACCGGTATGGTCGGGTACCGGTACCGGTACCGGTACGTACCGGTACCAGTGGTACTGCTCCAATCCATCTACCGGTAGCTAGCCACCGGCTGGCCAGTACCGTAGAAGCAGAGGCCAGCTACCATTTACTGGCTAGCTAGCTAGAAGCTCAAAGCACATAGGCTATTTTTACAGGGTTTAGTGTAGGGAGCTTATCTTGTTGATTGCTCATTGCAGTTGGCTGCTTCAGTTCAGCTCTGACTGGTTTCAAGGATCTTGTGGTGATCTCTCACATCTTCTTCTTACCAATGTCATCAGGTCCTGATAGCACAAAAATTGCAGCAGCATCAAGAGCTAGAAATGGGGAAAAGCTCCATAGTGCATTGTAGGGTGAATAGCAAAGGATACCAACAATTTCCAAAGCTTTACCAATGCCATGGTCCGTGCCACCACATCATTTTTCAATTTGGCAGCGATGAGATGGCCTACACCAAGTCCTAGGTCTCGCATGGCCACTGCCCCTGCAAGACTCACAATTAACCCAGAAGCAGTTGCAAGCTCTGCTGGCCATCATGAATGAGACAATCCTTGCCCAATTGTTTAAAGGTGATGCATCCCAAGATGATCCAATACTTATTGGTGGTGTCACGACAACGAAGAAAATGATGCGGGGGTCTAGCTAGAAGATATAAATACTATTATAGTCACCGCTGCTTCGTACAGCGTACCGATACATGCAACATGCAGGACTATCTGACCAGCTGGCCAGCAAGTGCAGCTTTGGGAGACAATGCAGTCTCCAACAATGGCTGGAGGTCGGTTTCTAGCAAGTAAAATTCCAACTGGTAGCTACATGTCTAGCTAGTAGCTGGATCAGCTAGCTAGAAGGGCAGTCAAAATGTGTTGTAAGAGGGAAGGATTATCGCATGAAATTGTCACTCGAGGCAAGGCCATCAGCGCAAAACATCAAAGAGGCAGGGGAAGGGTCTTCTTCCGCGGCACAACTAAATCAACATCATCGAAAGCTGGTGGCTTCACAATATTCGTTTTTTTTTTAAAGATCTTCGTTCAGAGATCTTCAGCTCTTTGATTGTTGCCTTCGTCACCATTTGGTTTCTCATAACGGATATGACACAGTAAAAGCTCGTGCCTGGCAACCAGGTACGATTGCTTGGCAGTTTCAGATCTTCACTTGGATTTTCTTTTGCCAGCATCATCAGGTCCAGGTAGCACAAAGATTGCCACTGCATCAAGAGCCAGAAATGGAGAAAAGCTCAACATTGCAGCGTAAGGCGAATAGCAAAGGATACCAACAATTTCCAAAGCATGGACCAATGCCATGGAGCGTGACAATACCTCATTTTTCAACTTGGCAGCTAAAAGATGGCCCACACCAAGTCCCAAATCTCGCATCATTAGCGACCCTGCAATGTTCACAGTGGCCCCAGAAGCAGTTGCGAGCTCTTTTGGGAAACCCAAGTTGGGTAGCATTTTCAAAAATGTTTCTGGACCAACAAATGGAACTACCACACTGATTGCCAGCATTAAGGTCCCACGAAACAAGCTGTATTTCTCAAGTGACGATAGGGTGGACATGGTGTGTGTAATTGCTTTGGTTGTGTCTTGATATTTAGTGAACTCTTTTGATGAGGCGCGAGTGGCAGCAACAGAACGCAGCATGAGAACCTTAGTACTGTACTTCGTCGGCAGCTCTGGGTGCGATCGCAAACGCATCACGAGAGCGCGCCTGTGCACGCAAGCATTCAAAACGCTCGGTACTGTGCTGTGATCTTGTAGAAAATCTGTCACGACAGCTTCGAAGAGAACATGCAAGTCACCGTGTCTTTGACAGGACAGGGGGTAGAGAGCACTACATACAGCCTGTGCATATGAACAGGACTTTTAGAGAGCCAGCCTGCAGTCAAATTTTGGCCTGGCAGGCGACGCGATTCCTGTGCAATTGTACAGGCGACGTGATTCCTGTGCAATTGTACAGGATCGACGTGATTCCTGTGCAATTGTACAGGAGAGCACTGGTGGAAGATCCAACACGTGTGGGTATGGGGTACTTTGAAGAGTATCCTTGAATGAGATGGGCACTCTCAGAAGTATCTGGAGGGCATGGCTTGGTGTGTCTAATTACCAAACTAGCTAGTTAGAAATTTAGAACCCAGTGAGTTACCCTATCTTAAGATCGGGTAACTCTCAAGAAATAGGGAAAAATCTTAAGTGAAAAAAAATCTTAAGATTGGTGACGACAA